ACTACATTGTGAGCCTAAACAAGTGAAATTGTCCCATTACATTGTGATACTAAAACAAGTGAAATTGTCACATTACATTGTGTTACTAAAACAAGTGAAATTGTCCCATTACATTGTGATCCTGTAATAAGTGAAATTGTCACATTACATTGTGATCCTAAACCAACTAAAACTGTCACTTTACATTGTGATCCTAAAATAAGCGAAATTGTCACATAACATTGTGGTCCCAAATTAATTGAAATTGTCACATTACATTGTGATCCTAAAATACGCGAAATTGTCTCATCACATTGTGATACTTAAACAAGTGAAATTGTCACATTACATTCTGATCCTAAAATAAGTGAAATTGTCCCATTCTAAAACAATCACAGTTGTCACATTACATCGTGATCCTTAAATTGTGTGAAATTGTCACATTACATTGGGTTCATAAAATAATTGAAATTGTCCCATTACATTGCGATCCTAAAATACGTGAAATTGGCATATTACATTGTGATGGTAAAATAATTGAAATTACACTGTGATCCGACAATTTATTAGATTGTCCAATTACATTGTGATCGCCAACAAATTAAATTGTCCCATGTAATCATCGATTACATTATACATTCAGTATTACAATTACATATAGCGGGGTGGGGGGGTGTAATCATCGATTACATTATAAATTCATTAACACTCTATACACTCAGTTTTACATATATCGGGGGGGGGGGGGGGTAATCATCGATTACATTATAAAGTCTTTAACACTCTATACACCCAGAATTACATATACGGGGGGGGGGGGGGGTAATCATTACATTATAAATTCATTAACACTCTATACACCCAGTATTACATATGTCGGGGGGGGGGGGGTAATCCAGTATTTTTCTAGTACGATTGGGTATTTCGCCGAACATAACTGATTAGAAATTGCAGTAAAAAACAGAAACAATTGAATGTAAATCAGTTTATATACATTCACATTACATTATTATATACGTTGCGACCCATTTGTGTCAATTTCTAGATCAAAAATATTAGCGATTTAGCCCCTTTAAGTACATGTATGTTTTAAAACCAAATAACATAATGTGGGTTTAATCAACCGTGTTTATAAATCAAATAACATCTGGGTTTATTCAACTAGATTTTAAAATCAAATCAAATATATCCCCATCTTAAAAGACATTATGGTTAATTCTATTTTGCTACATCAATATCGTTTCAAGCAATATCGATATGGACATAAGATCACTCTATCAATGTGGACTAAGTGGAGCTTATCCGTTTTCTGTCAGTTCATCTTGACAGTATTAAAATATTTTTATTTTAATACCCAGTACAGTATATTTTCACAACTGATCGATACAGAAGAGGAGATGCAGCTGGCTCGGAAAAATAAATTTAATCGCAGGGGAACGCACTCAGAAATACAATGAACTGTGGTGTTCAATGGCATGGCAGTACCAACTAAGCATTGCTATGACATGGTGACATTGGAGAAACAAACTAATTAATATCAGTTCGTTTTTATTCGGGAATTTTACAGTTGTGTGTGTGTGGGGGGGGGGGAGAAAGGGAGAGAGAAGAAGCGTTTGTATCTTCCTTGTAAATGTATGTTTCTGGGCCAAAGAGAGAGAGAGAGAGAGAGAGAGAGAGAGTTTAACGTCCATTCGACAAAAAACAGGTCATTTCAGGACTAACATATGGTTCAACAAGGTCATTACGAGATTAACATATGGTTCAATTGTATTTCAATAATTCGCTTGCACGTAGGGGTCTTTAGCATTAGGAGGAAACCAGAGGACCCGGAGAAAACCAACGAGGTTGGACTCTACTTCTTGTCGCGTTAACGTAATATGTCTAAATACTGATGTTATTAACCCCAAAAATATGGTATCAGCCTTAAGACAAACTAAATATGACAATTTCTAGAACATTTGATACCATTTCTGTTATTTGGGAATTTTACACAGCTTCCCTTGGTAAATAAGTGTATGTTACTGGGCCAGTAATGTGTCAAAAGATTGATGTCATTAACCTTAAAGCTGGCCACTCATCCATTAACCCTAAAGCTGACCACTCATCCCTTAGAATAAGAATCAATATGGCTAATGTAACCTATTGGTCAGATTAGTCTACTAGCTTCCTACTGACATAATCTCATTTTCAATATTAGAAAGCAACATTTATAGAAGAAGTGTTATTAATACAATCCCTTTGGCAGATTGGTGTCCGACTGATCTAAAATGTAAGTTGAAAGGAAATGAAATGGGGGTTAATGTCCTACGTTTTTGCATTTCAACAAAGCCCTTTTGACGCTGTTCAATGAAATGAAATGGGGTTTAACGTCCCACTGTTCCGCTCCTATACTCGGCTAATGAAGACGGGCATACGCCATACAGTGTGCTATTAGAGTTTTGCTCGGGCAGCGGCACTATGACCTACTCTCATATCGAATGCCAACTGATAAGGGATCTTTTACGTGCATGTCAATGTATACACAAGGCCTCGGCTTTCCATCCTACCCGAACGACTAGACATTTTAGTCTTTCTGCTCATAGAAATATAGACTAGAATATGAGCAGAAGGACTAAAAACGACGTCACGATTCAGTATTGACGGAAAGTTACGACTCCTCACGGAGATGGGCGGGAATCTACCTGTTGAAATGTATCTGTGGCAGGTAATATTGCCATTCGGGTTCGTGTTATACTTATGGAAAGTATATGTTGACATAAATACTTGAAGTATTTACAAAAATTATGAAGCTTTTCCGGTGAACTTTAATACTTCTGGAAGCTGGAGGAAATGACATGCTGAAGATTGTTGCACAGCCTTTGATTATGCCGACAATAACCCACTGACCTATATAAATATGATATTATTTGATAATGACACAGGTGTGGATTATATGCTTGATTATGTATGACTAATTAAGATCTGGAACAGGTGTGTCTCCTAACTGAGAAATATCGACAACAATATTCCTAGTCGAATACACCTGGGAGGATTATTACCGTCTTGACATTTACGACTAAAGATAGGATTAATATGACGTATGTTGATTAAATACCCCCGGTCAGTTAATCGATGCCAATCATGTCCTGTCCATGATTTTATAACGAACTGTCTGTCTTGGATCAGATCACATTATTGGGTTCGATTTTGTCTCTATCCCAGTATTTCAGTTGTATTACCCCCACCTGAATCATAAACACGCAAAAAATTTTTTAGATGCACGCGTCAACATCGGCAACCACCTTTTTCACATGAAATACTAATATATGTATATCTTCAAACAATACCAAATAAATGAATACAAATTTAACTAAATGTATTTGCACAGTTTTAATTTAACAAATTTAACTAAATGTATTACGTAAAATTAACTTCAATTTACAAAATTTCACCATGCCTTTCTCCGTAAAATACAGATTTAACTAAATGTATAACGTAAAATTAATATACAAAATTTCATGGGGGAGGTTTAACGTCCACTCGACGTAAACTAGGTCGAGTTTAGTCTCTCTCTCTCTCTCTCTCTCCCGTGATGTAACTTGCACGACCCTGTAGCGAAGAACAGTGTCTAACGGTGTTGATAGGGCCAAACAGATTGGTGTAGAAAAGTAGGACTTTTAACCCCATTTCATTTCTACAAAACATCAGCATCTCAATCTAGAAGCCGGACGACAATTCCCACCGAACCGCACTATGCTTGAAGTAGCATTATTATTATTAATTTATGGAAAAAATTCAACCACGTCTTTGGATTGTGTTAACCCTTTCATGCATAGGACCTCTCCTCTCGGTTGATATTGATGATTTTTGTCATTTGTATTTGATTATAGCCCATATTTTCTAACTATTATAGTGCGAACAGTCAACTCTTTATCTAATGTTACCTTATGCCCCTTTAAGCAATACAAATTAGAAAATTATCAATTTGAGGAAAGATAATTATTTACCAGTAAAACGATCAGGAATAATTTGTAACTAAGTTTAGACTGGTATTAATGTATCTCAGCTACCGTAGATAATTCACACAGTTTCTAAATGACTCCTAGTTAATTAAAATATGATTTTATTTCCATACAGTTTATTATTTAAAGCCGTCGAGAGTTCTAGCAATATTAGTTAAACAATAGATAATGTAAAGGGAATATGTTGAAATTTTCAGTCAAATTAATTTATTCTGAGCCGCGAAATTCTCATTCCAAGAGCAATGTAGCCGCGATGGCCATTGTTAGCGTTGTTACGATAATAAACAAAGTATCGATTATCCATTTTTACGGTTAATCATCAATCGTAGTTGAACAGCAGATCGGATTCAAATCGGTTTAAGATCGGACCCATCAGATAACACCGACAGTTGATTGTGATCGTGTCATGTCTCATTAATAATTTAGATAACATTTCAGGCCTACAGAAAGACCGACAATGGGCAGATTTACCTCTTGCATAATGTATGTTTAACACAAAGAGTCGTCCCAAGACACCGTCTCTGTTTTATTAGTTGCAGTGAAGTAGAGTTAATCGTATTAAAGGATCCGTATAATCTGATAGTCGATATTTTCCATAATTATTATTAGTCTAGACAAAAAACTAATGTGTCCTTATTACCTTATGAGTCGAGTCGTTCGATCCCGGTGTTGGCTAAGAAATTTTCCAAGATATTCCAGAATGGTTTCCGGTTGTCAAAGGGCCTGGCATGTTACAGAAATCAGTGGTTTGGTTGGGACGGAAAACCGGACGGTTGGGGTTCATTTTATGTCCGGACAAAAAATTTAAGCAAAATAAAATAAGATGGCGCAGTGAAATAAACAGTAAGAATTGCGAAATGATATTAAGATTGGTTGCTTTTAATTAATTTTGCTACAAATAATTTCATTATAATCCGAAGTCTTACATTAAGTCTGGATTAACAGACAAATAGAAAAAAAACCACTTTCGCTCACCTTTCATATATTCATTTATTAAAAAAATAAATATAATCCACTTACCTCACAGTTTCTTTTAGTTTCTAAGTCCTTCCACATCCTGTTTTCTTGCAGTAGATCATAATTAGAGAGATTAAGGTTTACTTCCCCTATGTATTCCGTGAGTTTTAATTTCTGGCCTTTGTCGAATAATTTAATCCTTACTCTCATAGCTTCCAATTCGTCGATACTAAATCCGTCGAAATGAAATTCCTGATTAAAATGAGGATTACGCGTTTGCTTCACAAATTGCGACACTTGTCTCTGTATTTTCCCGGGCATAAGATACAATTTGGCGTAGATATTCAAATGATGAGTGGCCTTGTTGTGGACATAGAGATTCTCGGCTTTGATCATGGTTACACGGAGTTTTTTAGAATGAGGAAAATATTGAAACGAGAATTTGAGTTCACCAAGTTCGGCAATCCTTGAAGTGTAGGGTTTCGAAATGCTTGAGCATGAGCAGGACTTGTTGGAGAAGTCTCTCACGATATCTGGACCTTGAGTAATAGGTGTGCAACACGGCGACGAGTGGCGTTTCACGGGAGTTTCAAAAGTTGGGAGATAATGTCCACGTCTTTGAGGTCCTGGACTAGTTGTATCTGAACTACTGTCATCGCCATTGTACTCCGGTTCCGGGGTGAACGCCGATGATCGTCGTCTGTAGTAACGTTTGCTGTTGCGATAACAATCCTTCTCCGACAACGTATTCCGACGATCGTACATTCGTTTGTTGTCCATAGAATGCTCCCGTCTTGGGTTTTTTTTATAAACATTATTTTGAGCATTATTCAGAGAGCATTTCTCTATACCTATGTCGATACATGAAGGGTATTTTATTTTAACGTTCGTTTTGGGCTGTCCTGTGGATTCCATAAACAAGGACTCTCGGCGCCTACTGTGTGGACTTTCTTTCAAGGTCGTGAAGCCGTAGTTCGTTCGTGTTCTGAAATGCAGTAGACTTACGGCAGCGGTTGAGCATGGATCGGCATTTGTTCCATATGTTTCCCGTTCTCCAAGTTCGACCATCGAAAGAGCACTAAACGCTTGAATTCCATTATTGGTGTCGTGTTTTGGTGACACCGGAGCGGATCGCGTGTGGACGGGGCTCTTATTGTTATAAGGCACCTCAAGACAGGAGAAAGAACCCCGGGGTGAAACACCAGGGCTTGGAGTAAAACATACCACACTCGCGCCGCTTGATTGACTTACGATATCATCTTCATTTGAACACACTGACGGTTGCCGAGACGACTCGTTAGAACCCGGGATTACAAATTCTGGAATGTTTCTCGGAGTAACTACAGTACAGAAAGACGAACCTTGATCCGAACCATAACCATCCGGAGCGTTTATATTAGGAATCTTACATTTATTAATTAGCCATTCCTTGATATCTTTCATGGATTCCATTTTGCTCAGATCACAATTTTTGGTAATACAGCAATCAAAAATCACAAATTGCACAAAAGGCGAAACCTTTACGCCAATTAGAACAAAACTTCTAGCATCTGTATTCACTTAACATTACATGGAAGCTAGGATTTACACTGCACGGATTCCAGCAGTCTTAATCTTCAAATCAAAATACACACGATTGACAAGGCACTTCAGAACACCATAAACACGGTAGAATTACGCTAGATGGAGAGACTAATAAGCAATGTCCTGGCTAGTAGATACTTGTAATGTCATTTTAAAATTGGGTTTCTAGTCAAGATGCGTGTAATACTTGCCGTTGGTAATCGCCCTCTCAATATCCGCTCGCTCTGACGACACGCGAACCAAGAGGTCTTATAGAATAGTCTGTTATCGTTTACTCCATCAATATACTCATATAACCCGGTCTTCCTTCATAAACTCATCTTAATTCGATCTGAAAACAGATACAAGGGAGAAAAAAATCATTTAGATTTGTTTTAAGCCAACTGAATAGAAACGTGTCTTTCATCTATTTGTGATGAATCTTTGCGAAGACGGCTTAATCCTGAATTTAAAAAAATCAAAAACAAATTCAGTTATAACAAATCCTTTGAATATTTTAAAGAAGAAAGGGTGACAAAAGAAACATTTAAGACGGCTAATTAGTCAAGTGTACAAATATAGAAACATAAGGTTATTGAAGACTTTCCCCGTAGGCTTCTCCTTGTCAGTGGTGCAGGACGGGCGGGTCGGGCAGTTGTCTAGTCGTTCGGATGGGACGAAAATCTGAGGCACCCTGTACACATTGGCGTTTACGTAAAAGATCCGTATTTTTGTCAGTTGGAATTCGATGTAAGAGTAGGCAAACGTTCCCTCGTAGCACACTGTACAGCGTATGTCCGTCTTTATTAGCCCAGTCGGGGCAGAACATTAGGACATTATTTTTTTTAATTAAATAAATAATGAAGAATTTGTTACTTCTAAAACCATACCGAGCAAACAATAAATACAAACTCGCAAATCATGTCATCTCAAGTTAAATTGGATAAAAAAAAATAACGGTATTTTCAACAAAATAATACATATTCTTGATTTTTAAAATATAATGTGAGGTCCTTTCGATCTTTTTCAATCTGATTAAAACACAGATCCTATTTCTTTTCGTTGCCTATAGTTCAAAGTTTTGTTTTACTTGTATTCACTTCACTAGGATCTTGAAGAGTTGTAGGGGGGTGGATGGTTAGCAGGTGCGCGCTGTAACATAAGGTCTGCCATTGAGTCAACTGGCGTGGTTTCGATCCCCGGTTGTACGTGATAAGGAGTAGGGTAGCCTACTGTGTTATTACGATAACACACTTTATATCGCGATACTTTGCTAAGTTGATCCTTCTTTTGGAACGGCTTCAATTCGCAACTTTACAACGCCAAACAAGAGAGAGAGAGAGAGAGAGAAATGGGGTTTAACGTCCACTCGACACAAACCAGGTCATTTCGGGACTAACATATGGTTTAATTTTATTTCAATAATTCGCTTGCGCATAGGGGTCTTTAACAGTGGGAAGAAACCGGAGGACCCGGAGAAAACGCACAAGGTTGGACAGGCGACCCTACTCATCATTACTGAAGTCGGTACGATAAAAGAACCTAGTCTCGATTATCCATTTCTTGATTGAATCATGAATTAGCGTTGGGAAGCAGATCGCACCCTGGCCCAGTAAATATCGCGGGCTAACGATGACATTGAGAGTTGATTATGATCTGAATAAGCAGAGGCGTAGCCGTGAAATATACATTGGGGAGTCCGCAAATGAAATTATATAAAATGTTGACAATGTGTTACGCCGGAGACACGAGGCTGCACAGCAGCCGATGTAGCGCGATAGGGAGAGTGTGGGAGGGTCTTTAGTCTTCTGTAAACACTGTTTTGGCATATTTTACGGGGTTAAACTAAAACATCACACCAATACAATGTTTATCATGTTTAAGGCATGTGTGACGCCTATGTAAAAAGTCAATTATCGTCTAATTAATAATTTAGATAACATTTCAGACCTAAAGAAAAACCTGAAATAGGCAGATTTAGCTCTTGCATAATGTATCTTTAATTATCTGCTGTGTTTCATAATTTTTATAGCAACACGGTTAATCGAGAACGGCTGATCCTTGCTATAATGTTGAAACAATTTTTTTTGGAAAATCACTTTCGTATAAAGCGTAGTGTCGTTATTCATGACTAAACGTGGAGTGGGTGTCATTTTTAATCAGTGACGTTCGGCTACTCAGTGGGATAGAAATTATTCCGCAGTAATGGATAGTTCTAATGACTTCCTTTGAACACGTTTGGCAATAATTTGATTATAAAAAAAACTTACTGTCATAGTTACTGATCAAATCCAGCGGATACGCGATATTCCTTTCCCTTCCCAACTTAAAATGGTCGCCCAATCCGAATTAGGATGCACACTACGTCCCACGTGATCAAACGCCATTTCCATATGGAATCCATGACCATATTTAGATGCTAATAGTATTTAGTTATCGTCAACAAATCCCTTTAAAGAAAGCGATGGGCAGGGCTATGTGACATGGTGTCGCGTCGGACCTGTGGAACGCATTACCACAAAGAAAAACTGGTCGGTAACTACTTTAGTGGTTCACTCTTCACTATTTGTGAGGCAATTACATATTTCAATACAAACTGTGGTGATATGTGTTGAGAATTGTGCGTTTAAACCTTTTCTTACTTGCGCAAAGCCTCGATTAGTGTATCAATTGTAGCGGCGAACCAAACATGGCGGCGCTACAATATTGCAACTATCCGTGGGAGTGCGTGTCGGCGGTATACAATTCGTCCGTGGGTACCTTTCAATGTCAGTGAAGAATGTCACACTATATATAAAAATATTGTCGTGAAACAAACATGACATAACTACGCACATGAAGCCCTACTTTAAATTCTTACGTCATTTCAATGAAATTATCTTTTTGAAGAAGCCATTTTTTGAATGGGTTATTACATTCAGTGTGGTAAATCTGGCGAGAAATTGTGAAGGTCGGTTAATTAACTGACACATGAACTCATGTCGAAAGACAGACAGTAAGGATTTGGGATGAATGAGAAATAATTATCTAAGTCTTGTATTCATATCACGTTTTCTAGTGTACTGTATATTCTAATTAGCATCGCACAAAGCCACGGTTTTGAGAGAATGAAAGGGGGTAATGGATTGTGATTTTAATACAATTTTCAAGCTTTTAGTCGGCGAATTATTACAGCTTGCATACTTTTTCATAATAATACAACCGTTATATATATACATACGTTTATTAGCTAGGAGATTGGATGGCCGAATGGTTAGCTTGTGCGCGTTGTATCATAAGGTCTGTCATTGAATCAACTGGTGTGGTTTTCATTTCCCGGTTGTACCTTCCAAGGATTAGGGTCGCCTGTCCAACCTCTTGGGTTTTCTCCGGGTCCTCCGGTTTCTTCCCACTTCTAAAGACACCTACGCGCAAGCGAATTGTTGAAATAAAATTAAGTCACCCCTGACCTAGTTTGTGTCGAGTGGACGTTAACCCTTGTGGGTGCACATTGTGAGAATCACATAGTGGGTATCAGGGGTCCATATTATGGACCCCACTTATAATTCATAGTTTTAACGTACAGATATATTTGAATTAAAAGGCAGCGGTTTGGCTTTTATTTGCATTCATATTTGGCATCTGAGAAACAACTAAATTATTATCCAAAAACATTTGAGTGACATTTGGAAAAGATTTAATAATTCTTACCAAATTGTTACTTTGTGTACTAATGAAGGCGTTAAATGGCAATTTAAGCTTGATACAAAAACTATTGAATCTTTGGATTTCATCATTTAAGTTTTGGTATTTGTAACATGTAGATTCTAAAAGAGAGAATACTCTAGGATACGCAATATGGTGTCAAGCAGCAAACACATTAGCAAAATCCCAAATGTGAGTTATCAGTTAGGGGTCCGATTGGACCCCATGTTCTCTTCAAGCGTTGGGCCTGATTTGCATGTAACATAACTCTGCATGTGGCAAGAAGATGAATACCGATCAATTCGCTAGGTGTAAAAATGTATAGGAGACAAACAGGGGCGGATTGGGCCCGGGTTACTGTCTGCGGAGCCCGAACGGGGGGTCCGGGGGCTCTCCCTCTGGAAAATTTTGAAAAATGAACCCCAAATATGCGATTTGGTGGCATATCTGATTATAATCTCTGTCAAATAATATGTCTCATAAATCGATTAATATAGGCCAAAACCCCGACCTGCAAGTAATTTAAAACCATCAACCTGTGAAATTATCATATCGTCATATTATTAATTAACGTATTATCATTGTATCGTCAAGAGTCAAAATAATTTAACTGGTTAAAAAATGGGACTCGTTGATAAAATTTTGACCATATATTAACCAGTTAGAAATACTGAATAAGTAGGAATATTTTCATTGAAAAAGGTCCCATTTTTGTTGCTGGGAGCGCTAGTTGATTCCTTCCGTGATGGAAGGCCACGAGACACATTGGAACAGAGTGACGAAAGTGAAATTCATGAAGTCTATTATACCAGCCCATTCCAGACTCCAGTGATGGCGTGGCGGCCCGTTAGCCACCAGCCACATACAACATGATCATCATCGCTCCATGGCCGGTCCAATACCCCCCCTCATATAAAGTTCAGCAGAAAAAGGTTTTTTAGACGAATTGAACAAAATTTTTTTTTTTTCATTTTTTGTCCGACCGGCCCTTCGGGCGATCGCCCGACCGCCAGATGGCCCAATCCGCCCCTGGAGACAAAGTCACTAAATTTCAGAGAAAAGTGCCCAGTAGTTATTACAAAACACTATAAAACATGTGCATGGGGTCCACGGAGACCCCACGTGCGCCGACAAGGGTATCAGGGGTTGTAAGAAGAACAGGTGTAGGACGGAGGGTCTTACACGGACAGCTGTCTAGTCGTTCGGATGGT